GAGGAATTTTTTGTGAATGTCTCTTTTAATTTTTGGTCCCCCCCACCTAACTGAAAATGCTTGCTTCAGGCCTGTTACATATATATAAAATAAAAGCAGCTTAGGATAATTTAGTTAAGATCGCCATTTAATACATCATCTAAGAAGATAGTTGTCTACCATGAATGCTCGTTTATATCTTTGAAGTGATATTTTAATAAATTTAAAAAGGAATCTCGCTCTCTCTCTCTCCCTCGATCTCAATACAAGACACTTTATAAAGCGCACTACCTATTTACTTGATTGCACGGACTTATTTTTTTTCAAGCTGTAAAAAGTAACCTTACCCGATATGGACAAAGCGCACACTACGAGTATTTTGTTTACGTTTAATCACTGACGCATGCATGACAAACGTGTTTCCTAATCCGTCTAAAGTACTATGGTGCATTTTCTTCTATTTGCTCGCTTTTCTAAAACATTGTAAGTGATTACAAAAAAAATTGACATGAGCAAATTTCAAATACAAAGTGGTTAAAACACTATCCGTTCTATTTTACACATATACTTATTTCTTCCGATTTTAAACTTTATATGGGTGCAATCACTGGTCCCGAGAAAACTATCGAGATATGGGAAGTTAGGGAGAGTTACGTTCGTTCGTAAGATGTCGGTGTTTCTCTATTAAAGCACAGGGAGACTGAAGAAGGTCATGGTTTCGCAAAGTCTTTTGTCAATGCAATAATCAATGACAATCAAAGAATCAGTAAATCCAATGTCGACTGAAATTTTTCATTCTAGGGCAACAATGATTAAATTTTGTGTTCTTCAGACCTGCGCGCTCGTATGAATAGAAAACTAAAATAAATGTAAATTTATTTTCCCACATGCGGAAAATCCCGTGCTAATTTCTGTTCTATTCAGCTCTATTTTTTAATGTTATATCTGTTTGCTCTACAAATTATAAAAAGTAGAAAATTTATTATTTTTCGCTCATTCTTTTCATATTCTGCAGCTCGCCACCGACAAGTGGTGGCAGCTATATGAGTGAAAGATTTTAGAGAGGGACGTTAAACATCAAACAATCAATCAATGATATTCTGCCAAAACATTGTGCCTACAAAAATGATTACTAGTATCTTATCTCTTTCCTACTTGTACTTTTTTTCTCAGATGTCAGACAAACAAGAAAATAAATTGGTGTGGCCTACTCCTCAGCTTATCATTTACACACTGAATCGTTCTACAGATTTCCGCTTTTCTTTTAATCAAATCAATGAGCATAGGGCGGATATTGATTCTCAACAGAGTCTTTTTTCTCTTTTTGGGCACAAGTTCCCATCATCGATATTTCAGAACAATGAATGGCACAGGCGAACGGCATTCGTTTTTTTAACGTGATATTTTCGTAGTATAGCAGTCATGCAAGAATCATGTATAATGCTTAGTTTCAAAATCTAAAGTTCGAAATAATCATCTCTCCATAAGGAAATACTTTCAACTATAAATTGTTTGTTGTTGCTAAATATAGTTATATATTTTTATGCCTTACTTCTAAACAGTTAACTAGAAATAGGAAAACAAGTTCTTTTTCTGCTTAGTTTTGATATGTTGTAAGATTAATAATTCACACGTTTTTTTAAAGACTCAACAATTTGTTATGATTCGTGAGTATTTTATTTTACTGGATATTTTGAACAGAAAATCATAAATTAAATATTGACCCAATAATTCTACACACTCGATTAGATTAAGGTGTAATTAATATTTTTCAAAACCATTATATTAAAGATTTGAAAAAAAAATAATAATGAATTTAACGTGATAAAGAAAATAAGATATATCTTTCCTAATTTCATTTTCAAAAGTTCAGTTTGCAATAAGCAAAATCCTCAAGATACAAATTGTTTATATAATATATTAAGAATTTTATCTTTTTAATAATGTCTTGGAAACAAACGTTGCTGAATTTTACAGAAAAGAAAACCCTTCCTGTTGTCAAGATTATAAGAAAACTTCAGGAGAGTGCAAAGGTAGATTTTCATCTTTTTTACTTTTTTCTCAACTCGCAGTTAATATTTAAAGCCTCTATACAATCTTTATTTTTAATTTATCTTATAGCTTGCTTCGGTTCCTTTGGACAGAATTGCTCCATTCCATGTATGTTCGGGTATTACGGACATGGGTGTCGTGAGAGTTGTAACTGTAGTCAAAATCAGACGTGTGACAGAGAAAGAGGGTGTATTATTCAGAATACTTCATATTCTAGTAAGTGTCTTGCATTTTCATATATGATTCCATGTCTTCTGCTTAACAAAGGTACTTTTTGTTAATACTATGCATGCATCACTGTAGTATACTATACTAAGACTTTCATTTAGATTTCAAGATAGATTTGCATAAAAATCATACAAGTATCCTTAAGGCCAGTTTGAGGCTGTCATAATACAGGAAATAACGTCATTGCCATTCTACTTTACGATATGCAAAAGAAAAAATGGTATACCATCGTTTTAAATATGTTCTAATAATCTTTAAAAAGAATATATGCTAACAATGCAGGAAAAAAGAGATGGAAAAATCATATGATAAATGTATACGGAAAAAAAGAACGGTTATCGAAAGTGAAACAATGAAACAGTCAGTAGAACAAACACTTGAAATATTAGAAGCAAAATGCAGAGGAAAAAAACTCCTGTAACAAATTATATAATCCCTTTGCTCTTTCTTAGATATTGGGCAGACGGAGAGACTGATTGTTAATTCAGTATGAAAATAACAGCTCAACAGTTGATATGAACGAAATCAGTGAACATTAGACAAGAAAGGGTTTTCTTAAAAAAGATCTCATAATCAATTCAGAGACTGCTTAAGTTCAGTTTCTTCCGAGAAGATCTGATATATATTGAAATAGCTTTGAAACAAAAACTATATGCAGTTGATAATGACAAAGGACAATGTTCAAGTTCAAACGTCAATGAAACAATACAAAAAAGAACCAAAACATCCAAACCGGCCAGGTGCTCCTTATCATGATCGGAAAAACAAAAAAAATCCGTCATCAATTAATTGTATAATAAATGTTATAACAACTAAAATGAAAACGGCAGTTAGTATTTGATTCAATGATAAATTGTATATGCTGACAAAGTCATTGTAACGAGACTGCTTATATTCTTGTTTCATCAACTTTTTTGTTTTGTTTATTTACTTCGTTTTAAAACTTGTACATAAATATAGCATGTCCTTGCATATCAAATCAACTGAGGAATATAAAAGCCAAGCCGTATACAGGTGATGAAGGTATATTGCTGCGTTCATGGGCACTCCAATAGATTGTTGGAAGACTTGGTCTCCAAGAACCACATAGATATTGTCAATCAGAAACTCAAGTATCTTTTGATATCAACTTCAGAGTATTTGTGTATTTTAACAAAATAATTTTGCAAAGGACCAATGACAACGTAAATTTACGAAATTGTCAATGTTATCAATAAGCCTGGACTTTAATTTATCGTGGGCAGTGGTAGTGTATAAAGTTGAAAAATAGTATGTTTTTAAAGAACTGTAAAAACTGTAAGAACTTAAAAGACTGTAAACCTGGTAACAAAATCTACATAGCTATATATCATGAAGATTGGGTTAGCTTTTTTACAAACAAAAATGTATTCAGCCGCAGGAATACAATTATTTTTTTTCTTTTTTTCGATGGTATCTTGTTTGTTGTATCCGCCTCAGTGGATTCCTTAAGTTAAAAATTAATGCATTCTACGTTAAATTCACCTCAAAGTTCTATTATTTGTGACAAAATGCTGTACATAATAATAATAATAATAAAGCAGTAGAATAATTTTAGCTAAACTACATCGTGGTGACCTCCAAATTAATTTCAGATTTCTTTGGTGAATAATATACACAAATTTGTGTCAATTCTAATAGTTTTGTAACCCTGGGGCACACTCATCGACGCCTCGACATAAAAACATTCACTTAGCTTTGTGTATTTCTAAAAAAAAAAAAAAAAAAAAAAAACATTCTTAGAGTATGGCCAAATATCAACTCATAAAAAAATTCAAATAATTTTTTCCGGCAATTTCTAGCATTTGTTTCATTTCTTTTACCGCATAATTGTGCTTTCATGGATATCCCGTTTCTTCACAGATCGTTTTCACCCGATGTAGTTTTCATCCTTCAAATTCCACCTGTGCCAATTAAACACACAGGCACGACTCGTTTTTGACATATTTCTGTCTTTTAAAACATGAATGTACTCAGAACATATTTTTCTTGAGAAGTGAAAAAGATGAGAGACATAAACACTCTATGCAGGTAATAGCAATATCATTGAAGAGATAAGAAAAGTTGACGATAGAAAAGCTTATCTTCTTCTTTTCATACAGTCTTCTCATGTAGATTTTTCCAAATTCTGCTTCAATTGAATATAAAAACACGCCAACTAATAAAGGAGCACAATAAGTGGCCATCCCTCGAAAGCGGCAGTTTTTTTTTATATCCACAGGAAAGGCAGAGTAAGAGCTCATTATCATAATCGGAAAATAACCGGAAAATTCGTAGAAAATTTATTATGTGATAATTGTCTAATAATAAATATTAAAAACGTTAATCAGCATTTGACATAATGATAAACTGTCTTTGCTGACAGGGTCATTGTATCGACCATAGAATTTACGAAATGATGTCTTTCAACGAGACAGTTGATATTCTTGTTGCTCTCACTTGCCTGTCAATAATTACCTCGTTTTAGAAATTTAAGTCATCTATTTCCTTCATAATAAAACGGCAAGAATGACCGATGTGTAGTAGAAAATGCTTTGAAAAAAAAATGTCACTTTTGTTTATGTGCACATGAACCCTGTGATTGAGTAACATAAGATTAGAAGGTGAAAAAAGTATATTAAGCCACAAATTACACAAGGAAGTGAATGATTTTTGCATTTCTAACTCTGTTGTATGTATTTTATTTATATGTGTATATAGCTCGAAAATCTTTTTTATTTATCATTTATTTTGTTGTTTAATTTATTTATTTGTATTCCTAAAGATCTTGGCATAAAAATTTTGTCACCTCTATTTTCTTTTATTCAATATTAAGTATAATGGATAGAAATATTTCAATCTTTTTAATGTACTTTAGATAATCACGCAATAATCACGTATTGTACGCATTTTCAAAGTCCAAAGATCAAATCAAGTGTCTGACCACCAGGAAATATTTCTATGAATGATTTAATGTATTTTTGGAGTGTATCCTTTTCAAATTATGTTTATATACATATAGCTTTTGAAAATAATCACAAAAGCTGAATGGAACACATGTATTTATTGTTGGTGATATATTTTTTATGCTCAATTTCATATACATCGACTTCAGATATAACGATTTGTAAGGATTCGTAAGTATTTTTTGTGTCTAGATATTTAAAACGAAACAATTTGATTAAATTTTTTCCATGTTTCCTAAGTTTTCCAAAACAATGAATTTCTATGGGTTAACTCTAATTAAGAAACACATTATAAAATTTTTAATGGAATTTTTTTTTCAGTGGAGGGAATCGTGTATTTTTTTTTAAGAATTCTGTTTAGCGAACAGTCAAATTTGTCATATTCATCATGTCTCATCTGTTTGAAAATATCAACAATTTTAAATGAAATTACAGAAACGGAACACAAACTTGTTGTCATGACTACAAGAATATTTCAGGAAAGTGCACAGGTATCTTTTTTCAACACCTATTTCTTTGCTACGCATGGCTAATACTGAAAGCTAACTGAATGTGTTTTTTATTATTAAAAAATTTAATCCACAGCTTGCATTGGTTCTTATGGGAAGGGTTGTCCAAATCCGTGTACGTACGGGTACTACGGCCATGGATGTCGCGAGCGGTGTGACTGCAGTGAAAATCAGATATGTGATAAAAGTAGAGGTTGTTTGGCTTTACATAATAATCATTTGAAAAGTAAGTTTTTTTTATATATTTTTAAATGTGTATTTTTGAGTACTTTATGCAAATATATATATTTAAATATATCCAAAATTTAAATAATGTCTCAGTAATCGGATAACAATATTAAAAAAAGTAAAAAGAAAACACAAAAATCCTCAGTTAAGCTTTAGCGCTTTCATTTTTCAATCTTCACAAAGCTTAGAATAGTATCATAGTAACAGTGATTATGACGTCATGTTAAGCGGAACGTTAAATGTCTATTATGACGTCATAGATACAATATGACAAAAGTACGGGAAAATCACAAGTAATTTATAACACACTATTAAGTTTTGGCTGAACACATACTAATAAAATTTTCTTTTTCCCGTCTCTGGACATCAGTGGCACAACTGAGTTTATAGAAAGGGAAAATTTTGAAAAAAGTAAATACAAACGCCTCAGAGCTACAACTTCAATTTTAATTGAAATGTATTCTCAACTAAAAGGTGGCTTATGTAGGTGCGCTTATTGAACGGGTCTGTATTCGGGTGTACTAATGATTGTACGCGTACACGGGCGGTTTCACCAATATAAGAAAATTGCAAAGTTGCATCCAGGACATTATTGATGACATAAATGACATTTTTTGTATCGCATGACATGTACAACTCATGTAACTCTAAATTCACGCCCATTGAAGTTATAGGGTCCCTTCTGTAATGTATTCACATGTACCGCATCGAGGGTTCTTACACTTAGAGACTGTATAAGTATGGTCGTTACTACCTTATGTTGGAAGAACAAAGTATTGTCTTTAGGTTTTTGGGTTGGCCAATTTACGTTTTTCGTTGATAAACGTTGGATATTGCAAATCATAGGCTTTAATTGAACCCGCACATTTTGAATTTCGGGTTACTTGCGTATGCCACAAAAGGAATTATTTCTAAGTAATTCGTTAATCACGAAAGTATCCAGTCAATGTATTTCACTCATTGCTCGGGTTATGCGTGGCTGGAATTCTTTAGACCATTGTTAAAAGTTCCTACAAAGTATACATCTACTATTGCTTCCAAATTTTTGGTTTAATAAAAAAATTTTAACAGAGTATCTCCAAACAAAATATCCATCGTATTGGTTTTTTACTAACAATGGTACATATCCTTCTTGCAGAGGTTATATGGTATAGCTGTTTTAGTGTGATATGGGGATGATCCTTCAAATGGCGTAAAATGCAAATATTAATATTTTAATATATATATATATATATATATATATATATATATATATATAATATATATATATATATATATATATATAAATTCTTGCATCTGTTTTATTTTAGCGCCCTTTCGCCTTTATCATTCAAAGAAAACAGTGAGATTTCTTTAATAGATCTGTGAGTGGGCTAATTCAAAACGTTTCCATTTCCAAAAGGGCGAAAGTAATTCAGTATTCTGTATACTGTAAACGTATTACACTTAGCAGTGTATTATTTTCGGCGATTTTGGCGGAAGGCAGACTCCGTTAATTCAAGTACATCGCTAAATGTCTTGTATAATTACTTGTATAACCAGCAAATTCAGACAGCGCTAAATCAAATCTGCGCTAACTTGTTAAATTCAATTTCCGCCAAAATCAACACTCTAAAAATACATTTACAGTATTATATACAATTTCCCCACATAGCAATAAAGATTTCTACTGCTAATTTTGCATTTCAAAGTCATGGGGCGGATCCACTAACACAAACCCTCCCTCATACACGTCCTCTCACACCCCTCACCCTCACAAGCATCCTTTCATTCCTTCACACAAACAAATAAATACATCAAATCTACAAAATAATTCAAACAAATCGCGAAACGAAAAATAGAGAAAATTAAACAAGCATCCTTTCATTCCTTCACACAAACAAATAAATACATCAAATCTACAAAATAATTCAAACAAATTGCGAAACGCAAAATAGAGAAAATTAAACAATAAAAAAAGCTCAATAAAAAACACACTCAGAACATGTTACAATTCATTTTTAATTGAAATACATCCTTTCAACTAAAAGGTGGCATGAAGAAAATAGAAATGATCGCTACACAAAGTTACAATCAAGTTTTTAACAATTGCAAAGTTCAAACGAATACGTTATTCACGTGTGTTTTGACAATGCAAACATTATTTCGATTTTAACTTTGTATAATTAAGCTCTGTTACCGCTTTGAAAATTGGAATTTATTTTTTAGAAAGCAGTACGGGTTCAATAATTTAAAGTTTTAAAAAGTGAAAAACCATTAAAAGTATCGCAACTCAGCTAATCAATTTTTTATTTCCATTTTTATCATTAAGATATAACTAAAGGTGATTATAAGAGATCAGAAGAAAGCAGCCACAGTTCACAATCCATAATAATCATTATTTGCGGTGTTCTTGCTCTTGTCTTCATCGTTTTGGGAATGGTATGCTACCTTCAAAGTAAATTGTGAGTATACTTAAATTACAGTATACCTTCAGATATCCGGACGCCAGATATCCGGATGCTTCAATAACTTAAAGAATTTGTAAGTTTTAAAAGGTGAAAAACCAGAATATTAAAATGTTATTTTTGTCTTGTTTAACTGTTGATAAAAAATCAGGAAATCCGGACGCCACATATCCGGACAAACTGACTGGGAACCAAAGCGTCCGGATATGTGAGGCTCCACTGTATAAATTTTATCATTAAAAATTAAATGGTTCCTTTAACTTCATTTTAACTTTTTTCTATATATTAATATTTGTATCCAACTTTTAGAACGGAGAATGGATCAAATACCAATACTAATGTTACAGAATCTTCACCTTCAGGTATGTTTTTTTTCCTTATTTTCTTTAATTCAGATTGTATCAGAATAAGACTTTCCTCTCTTTTTCTCAGGAAATGCATGTTCGATGCAGCAGGAACAAGGCGAATGTATTTATAATGACGTACGCGAATCTCGAATGATTGAAAATACGAGAATGGTTCGACCAGAAAATGTCATTATGCAGAGCAGGTCAAAGATGATTGAGGCGTGCATGAGTGTACCGAAACAGCGCCGAGAAAAAGTCCAGGAATCAACTTCTAGCTCTCTAGACCTGGGATATTATGGAGGATGCTGTGATAACTACTCTCGATTACAACTTAAAAAGATGCGTACATGTACTTTGCCTTCTAAGTATTCTATTAATATGAATGACTATACATTCACGAAACCGAATTTTCAATCTCTATCACATGAAGACATTTATGCTGAAAGGGAAATTATAAAGAGGGTGAATATGCTAACCAATCATGTTTAGAAAATTCCACCATAAAAAGATCTGGCGTGACCCAGTCAAGGATCTTCCGGCCGTATAGCTCTGTGAAATACTATCGTAATGTTGCTCAAGAATAGATGATTTAAAGTCCATACCTAGACTTTGAACATTTAAATGCATTATTTTATATCCAAAAACCTGTATTTTTCAAAAAAAATTTAAATATAAGTAGAAAAGTATGTAATAAATTGAAAAACTCACAAAAACTTTCAAAGATCTTTTTACAGTGCAATTTTTTTTAGTTGTATTTTTTTTAAAAAATGTTTCATGTAAGAGGAAGGATATTGAGATAACGAACGGTATTCAATATCAGAGTCCATAAAACAATACAAAATAAGAGCAGAGCAAACACGGACCTCCGAAACATCAGAGGTAGGATCAGGTGCCATGGCAATCGCAACTTCTCGGGCCTTTCCGACTAGCGGAAAAACGACCTCGAATGTATATGGTAGAAGCCATGACAACCCTCCTTTTTCACGATCTTTGAAATAAATGCATAAAGACTTTTTATCTGTGGCATATGGAGTCTAAGGACGCTCTAAACACTGCACACTAAAGAGCTCTATTTATGGGGTAGTTTTATGCAGTTAGAGTGATCTGCCCTTAGAAGAAAGATTAAAGAAATTGCTATTTACCGTTAATTACATAATTTATAATAGATTTAAACGTTTTTAGCATTATATAAGACAAAGAGTAAGACAATTAATTAATTATTTTCATTAATGTTTCCAATGAAGTAAGCAACAATGATTTCTTCTCACAAATAGTCCATTGTCTTTGAACATTTCTCCTGCGCAAATAAGGCTCGTACCCTATATTCTAAATGAATGAAAAAGTCTCAATATACATATCTTTATATGATATATTTTTCTCCAAGTCCAAAAACAGTTTCTGTTAGTGTTTAGAGCTTCCTTAAATTTATTCAATGTAATGATATTATTTAGAATATACTATAGAAGAGACTTCTAAATCCGTCTATCCTATATTTGAATAAACATGAAGATGTATAAATTTTTAACATCCGGTGATGTTAATACATTCGAGGTTGTTTTTCCGACCTCTGACAGAAGACACGAGATGATGCAATTGCTGCCATGGAGGAGTGAGCATACCCTGCTGACCGGTCACACACACCTTGCCATGATCAGGAAATAACGGAAAAATCCGTCGTCAATTCAGTGCACATATAATGGATTAAAAATTGGTACGAAAAACGTCAGTCAGCATTTGACTCAATAATAAATTGTATTTGCTGACAAGTCATTCAATTGTATAGACCATAGAACTCACGAAATGATGACTTTAAACCAGACGGCTGATATTCTTGTTTCATGAACTTGCTTGTCAATAATTTACCCTCGTTTAAGAAATTGTTCATACGTAGAGCAAGCTCTTGCGTATCGAATCAACTGAGATATATACACTCTGTATGCAGGTGATGAAGGTTTATTGCTGAATAAGTTAGGGAAGTTTACGATAGAAATGTTAAAGTCATCACGTTTATAATAGAGCTTGATTATTAGATTACCATGAACGTCTTTTTTCAAGTAAAATATCCAAGTATGAACCAGATGTGTCAGACTCTGTGGTATCTTTTATCTCAAGCTCACCAGGATATATTGTATCGAAGTAGGAACGGAAATCACAATTGTTAATTGACAATGCGTCGTCGGTATATCTAAATGACGAGTTGAAGGCGTATTTCATTATTTTTCTTGTTTTCTCTATCACTTTAAATTGTGATTGGCAGCTTACCAGTGTGAATAAAGTACTTCAGAGAATCTGGATTGGAATTTTAAGATAGATAATGAAAAATATTTAATCCCAAAGTTTATTATACCAATTCAAATTAAACATCAGAAATGAGATCAGCTGCTTTTGAAGAGCGAGCATTCCCTGCTGACCGGTCACATCCGCCGAGTGATCATTGTCATAATCGGGCAAAACAGAAAAAATCTTTTAACAATTCGGTGTGTAAATATTTCTCTAACTCTTTGTATGTTAAACATCAGTCTGCATTAACCATACTAAGTAATTCTGCAATTAATTTCCAACTTTTATTCGTCGCCCACATGGTGCAGTGGTTAGAGCGTCTGCTCTAGAGTCGCAAAGTAAGGAGTTGATCCTTACGTCGCGGGTTCAAATCCCACTGTGGGAAGTAAAAACCATAAAAACCCGTGTTGCAGTAGCTTCTGGCACGCAAAAGATCCCTCCCTGCTCAATGGCCCTGAGTGCCGAGTATATGAAAAAATTGCAGCTTTCCACCGGCAAGTGGTGGTGTCTCCATATGAGTAAAAATTTCTCGAGAGGAACGTTAAACAATAAACAATCAATCAATCCAACTTTTATTTCAAATTTCCCTTCTAAGGTGAATAAAATAAAGAGATAACAAATAGTATTATAGTAAAAAGTTTATTTAAACAATACAAATCAAAGGAAGAGCATTGAACGTCTAGAACGTCAAGGTTGTATAAGATGCCACAGAAGGGATATCTTCTGATGACTGGTTACGCCGTCGTATGCTTTACTTTGCATGACTATACATGTGACCTTTATTGGTAATTTTCAATTTGATCAAAATGCTAGTATTTCAATCAAAGTACTCAGAAGTACAGAGAGCCAGGCTCATTTACAGGGTAGAATGGATTTCTTACATGAATCACGTTTATGTTCTGATGAAAAAATTATTTTAAAACTATCAATATAAATGATAAGACACTAACAGTGAGATTACAATCCTAATCTGGTACCGCAGCTGAATGTAAACATACAGTCCAGTCTGGTTCCCTATCCTGCTTTACCTCGTATGTGTAGAGAACTACGGTAACACTGATTATCAAAAATCCTTACGCTAATGAACTATGTTCTTTGACTTATGAAGTTTTCAAAGTCATTATTACTAATGTTTATTTATATAGATAAAACTTCGTTTTATTTTTGTTGCTTTATTTAGCGTTTGTATTATCTCAAAAGCGGTTGAAAGTAGTAACTATATTTTTGCACGTAACTTTAAAATGGCGACTATTGGGTTAACATCCTGCCTTGAACAGGATAACATAAGCCGGCAATTGCTCTTTGAGCAATAAGCACGGCTAAAAATATGACACCATAAAGTTCGTGTTTTCCTGTCATAATAGCATTTTTTGTATAAAACAAATTATTTTCAAGCAGTTTTTGTTCCAAACAATATTGAGCGCAAACTTGAACAACCTTATTAATTTTATCAAAGGTGTATGACATATATGGAGACAACGAAGATTATTTCCTATGTAGCTTGTTACATGAGCTGTGATTGGTAACAGTCGGGTGTAAATTTCTGTGCACCCGACTTGAGCCGGGGGTAGATAAAACGTGACGTCACAATGCATAGTTTCTCTATGATAAAAAGCAAATAACATGTCATCACGATGTATTATACGACCTACTAAATCTTATCGATAGCTTGATACATAGTTGATTGTGACTTATTTACGAAAAATTTATTTGGGTACGTGGGAAATAAATTCGTTATCCAGGTCCAATCAAGGGTGTACGGGGATTTAGCCCTGGTTGTATTCTTTTCACCCTTTGGCCTTCAGCCTCAGGGTGTATGGAATGAAAACCCCGATAAGTCCCCACACACTCTTGATTGAACCTGGAAAATTAATTGTATTCAAACTCGAAAGTCCATTAATCAATACAAAATAGGAGCAGAGCAAAACGGACCTCCAAAACGTCTGAGTCAGGATCATGATTGGGAAATAAAGGAAAAATGCCAGTGTGTAAATAATGGGAGGAGAAAAACTTAAGTCAGCATCCTATACAATAATATATACTGATAGAATTTATTTTTGCATGTTCCAACCGGTCACAGAAAAACACCGCTGTTTGACATCATTTATCCTTGTCATGATTGGGAAATATTTCCAATGCAATCTTTTCTACAAAATAAAATCAATTGTACACATATTTTAATAAATCCATGGTCAATTCAGTGTGTAAATAATGGACTAACAATTACGTCAATTTCAATGTAGAAACCATTTATTATGAAAAACTTAAGTGCACATGGCAGCATTTGACTCAGGATTGATGATAAATTGTATATATACAATAATATATACTGATAGAATTTTTTTTGCATGTTCCAAGCTGCTCTCAATGTTTCCCATCAGAAAAACACAGCAATAAAAGTTTTCTGAGATTCTTTGTAAAAGTTAATAATAATAGTCTGTGATGCATAATTTGAAATGAAGGTAGGGAAAAAAATGTTTATTCTGTTGAAATATTTCTGGGAGAGAGATGCAATCTTTTCTACAAAATAAAATCAATTGTACACATATATAAATATTAATCTAAAATGTTGTTTTATAAGGGACCAAAATTTACTCTTGTCATATGCAGTCCTCTGTAGCTCTTTACCGATTTTGTTATATGGTAAATTCTGAAAAAATTAAGCTTCTGTGACAGAACGTAAAATAACGACATACAAACAATCAATCAGCCTTACGGGAAATAATCAGCACCAGCCCATTTACACAATAATTTGATCAATTTCAATGTCTAACCTTAAATCATTTATTATTATAAATAAAGTATCTTTAAAACTAAAAGAAATGGTATCTGTATTATGAAATTAAATTGAGATTTAAGGTAGAAAATTACATGCACATGGCATTAATAGGAATCAATGAATTGTTTCGATCTCCGGTGTTGTATTTCGGTTGTATCTAACAGAGTTATCTGTCGCAAAAGCCCATATCTACAGTGTCAGTGTACTTCTTTGCATCCGTGACCATAGAATCCCAACGGACATGGTAAATTGCAATATTTCCCGTAAAAACCAATACAAGCTATAAATAACATGTAGAAAAAGTAATAAAAATGATTGTTTTTAAAATTAGGAATCATATTTTTTTTTAAAAGTAGGGTAACTAAGCTTAAAAAAAATATTGTACAGTGTATGTTTTCTAGTATAACAGACCTGCATACGTATAAGTGAAAACTATTTTAAAAGGGAATCTTTTCTCTTGCATTATCGCCAGGCCAGAAAGAGTTTTCTTTCTAGATCTAATAAAAAGTAATGATAAGTATTTCGTGAGATATTTTTGTTCACAAACAATACTCGTGTTCATCCAAAAATATAACTTTATTAATAAAAGTTGAGACACTGATCTATAAATAATAATTTTGACAATATTTTTACCCTAAGAACAGCAAAAAAGTATTACTCTATGATAAAACAATTGTTATTCACTTTAGAATAGGGTGGATTTTTTAAATGCAAAGTTTTAATGAAAATGTTGTTAAATTGATGATGATAATGATGATGATGATGATGATTATACCTTGACAAATTCCTGAAATATTCATATAATCGGTACAGCATTCATTTTGACCTGTAATTCTATGGAGCAAAATTACAATATATGTATCATCATTTTGAACTCAAGAAGATTGCAGAAAAAATATTAATATTACTACCAATATTCTCAAAATAGATGTTATGCTCTGAATATAGATGAAATACATGTACAAAGATAAACATTCAATTTAAACAGTAAAGTTCCATCTTTAAGTTTATTAATCTGTTTATTTATTTCATGTTGATATTAAAGTTGCTGAATACACAAAATACTTTATATAAAAAAATCAAATATATATCCTTAATTCTACTGGTGAAATTTATAGGTTACTCAACTGATTATATTTCTATATTTTTTCTACAATTTGTGCATTACTTACTCATTCTCGCAAATGTTTAAGTCATCAGACGTTAATAAGGAAATGAAGCTGACATAGAACATGACGATAACAGCGTACACCATAATTCTGCGACCAATTTTCCCTGACAAAGTCTTTTAAGAGTTATGATGAAAGTTTGATGTTCATAACCTTTATATATTCCCATCACAGGTTTGTCTGTGAAAACTTTAGACATTGAAATATACATTTTACACATTAAGTAATTTATTATACCTCTACTGATAAAACTAGAATTTGATTTGTTTGTAAGTAGGCTTTAAAACGCAATAATAACTCCAAAAAGTACTGTTTGCAGCAATAATGATCTATGAATAATTGCATACGTGTGTGATATACTAGTAATAATTATTGATCGCTAAATAATGTCCACGTCATCAAAATTCCTTTTATGGTATAATTAATGTATAAACTCATAATTATTTGATGCAATTATGTTCAAGGGAATGCAGACACAGATCTTCTTTACAATCAAATTCTGTGCTTGATTTGACTGTGTGCAGGAAAAATTATCTTTAATTATAACAATGCATGTCGATATCAACCAGATATTGTTTTAATCAGTAAACACACACAACTTGTAGACGTTCACTATAGGCGAATCCCGATCCCTATAAGAAAGAATTCTCCGACATAGATAAAGACTTTCATACTTTTTAGAATATATCTATATAATAAAGCAATTAAATACCCTTGTGAGTTCAACATGGTAGATAAGTACTCTCGACCTGGCGCACTCGATAACCCAAGCTATGCGGCCTCGATCAGGTCAGGTCACCTTGAGGGTCAGGTCTTATGTCCTTATTTCACAATATTGACCTCAAAAGGTGTAATAAATTGTATAATGATAATGCATAGAAATATTTTCTTCCCTTCGTTTTACAAGTAAAATTTGGAATGTATAAAGGGAATCAATTCAAACTCAAAATTTCATTCCATATTTGTTGAATGGGGATGTTAGATTATTTATGTGTTCCTAATAGAAGACCGAGGATGAATATGCTGGGCACACATTTAAAGAAAATTCCACTATTGCATTATCTGGGTTTAATTAATCATATCAAGGTTTTCCGGCCGTTCAGTTTTGTAAAACACCAGCATAATTGTGATAGAGAGTAGATGATTATCAATAAAGTCTATATTTATAATTTAGATTTTTGAATAAATAATCCAACATCCAAATCCCCGTCTATATATAAGAACATACGCCTTTCAATATAAGTACAAAAAGTGTAATGATTAAATTAAAAACTTGCAAAAACTATAATTTTTTTTTTAACATTTTTTCTCTAATGCCTTTTTTCAAAAAAGTTTCATATGTATTGGTTTATATGAATGATACAAAATTCATATTTTAAAAATGTCTCTGAATGTGGAAAACTGCATACTGCCAGTGTATAGAATGAGACATCTAAATTAGCCAATGTTTTCGTTTCAAATTAGGTTAATGGCACTTTTGTCTCTACAACGTCACAAACTATTAAATATTTTGAATTTTATGTAAATTTACAGACAGAAAAAAACAATTGTTCAATTTTAGCAATGAAATTTAAAGAGCACGGGCATGCTCCAAAACAGTTTTGACATATTTCATTAATATCATCATTCTACACATTAGAACAAAATATTGAGTTGGAGCAGACTTGCGCTCGGTAACATTTCCTAAAAATACGTAAAAAGACGTAATTTAATCCCTTCTCTGTGTTAACCAAACAAATGTTGAATTAACGTCATTTTCAGTCGTCATATCTTACACTGACGTTATGGTTTATGAAAATATTCAATGCAGTGAAGTCTTAAGAAATTGCTTTACAATGAAACACATGAAGATAATGAAGAGTATTCAAGATCAAAAGTCCATAAAACAATACAAAATAGGAGCAGAGTAAACACGGACCTTCAAAACATAAGAGGTGGGATCAGGTGCCATGGAAGAGTGAACATCCCCTGCCGACCGGTTACACCCGCCGTGTGATCATTGTCATGATTGGGAAATAACTGAAAAATCCGTGAATAAATAATGGACTAACAATTAGTATGAAAAACGTCAGTCAGCATGAAAGTATGAAAATCTTGATTTAATGATAAATGGTATTTGCTGACAAGGTCATTGTATCGACAAAAGAAGGAGACTGCTAATTTTCTTCTTTCATCAACTTGTTTGGTAACAATTTATCTCGTTTTAGAAATTGTTCAGTGAGCATGATAAAATCCAAAAGCCATCATTGCATATTGTACATCTCTGATTCTTGTGTTTTATTTCAATTTCAAATAACTAGGTCAATGGCTCACTTTTCATGCTAGTGGCCCCTGAGTATTTGTGGGGAAAAAACTAATTTTCACATATTATGACTCTCTACATAATAGAAAACAATAAGAAAGGGACGCTTTACAAACTGAATTTACGATGAGAGTTAGCTTAAAGCCTTAAAGTTATTATTAGGTCGAAATCCTGTGTAAGATTTCTATCATTTCCCATTTTGATCTACTATATCAAAATCTGAAGGATCAAAACTCTAAATTATTGAAAGCTTCAGTTTACTTTTGTTGTCTTCATTCAAATGCCATTAATATTATAAAATTTTAAATTTAATTTGAATTTCCTCTGCATTACCATAAATTAACTTAAATTTTGCTCTTACACATTTTCTTCAGATAAAACAAATATTTATTTTTAAAATTGGTATTGAGTAAAGACTTATATCTCAATTTAGACAGCTTTTTATTAAACATATTGTACTTTTATAAAATCTCCTTTCCTTCTGCTGAAACCTGGATAAACGTCATTCAAAATGGGGCGCATGACTTCGACGAAGTTCAGCTTCTAGTATTTCTGGTCATTTTTCCGCCATATCAGGGAAAAATCCATTATCGTATAAATAAAAAAACACAAAATTATTCCAGTTTACCTGAGTGAATAATGTATTTGTATCGCGACCATAGAACCTAGAATATAGAAATAATGACTTTAATCAACTGTTTATATTCTTTATTTCATATATTGTGAGGGGTCTTGACACTGTGTTATAAATTTCACTAGTAAGAAAATTTGATTTTCATGAACAAAAAAAAAAAACGTCGAAAAAAGTTTGAAGTATGAAAAACATAATGAAGCGGTACTTCCTAACTCAGAATATTTCAATATTGTATGTGGTTGTAAGAAAATATATCAGTGAGGAGGAGTTTTCTTTCTTCTAAATATTTCTTCATTTGAAAAAAAAACGTAATAATAAAACAAATTCTCTATTTGGTACTTAAAACATTTAACCATTTTTAAGATCGCCCTTACAAAGACTCAATTTTTTCGATTTAAAAGACTTTTGAGATTAAATTTAAATTTTCTTGGGGGGGGGGGGGGGTAAGTAAATATAATAAAACAATAGGGAAGAAATTGGAAAAAGAAATAGAAGGTAATGTTTCCATCTGATGTTAGATTTCATCGAATGGCTGCTCAGAGGTCTCAAATAGGAAACTCTGAGAAAGAAAACTATAAGTAGTATTCACATAGTTATCTCTCTTATCAGAGGGTTGGTACCCCTTAAGTTTCGTTGTTAGCTTAATGGATCGTCTGGGATCGTCTGGGATGCTTTAATGTAGAGCTGAAGGCCGTTAAAATTGATGTCATTGATTTGAGTCAAATCTTGTGGTTTAAATTTTTTGGAATCGTCCTCAGAACATTTAATTATTCACATCTTATTTTCATTTCTCGAAAATATTGTTGCAAAATACTCCTGAAGTTTTTACTTCATTGCTATTCACATATTAGCGAGAGAAAGAGGCTTGTTAAAACACTTAATTGACCCCGCTATGTATCTTTGTTTTTAAGGACTTGTATTTAGTTGCCGAATCTTGTATAGGTATGCTGATTCAACATCACTTTTAGTTACAATTTATTTTCAAGAATTTTGTCTTATAGAGGTTTGATTATAAACTATTTTTAAACTAATAATCTTACTGAAAAAGCCTCTATACCAAAACCTGGGAAAATCTGAACTGCAAGTTTAAACTCCAACTGCATAAGACCTTAGTAGATGAAAATAGGCAACACCTGTTCCTTTGCCGAGCCAAATCACATTGAAGTGGTACAGTAACTGATAAATGACCTTGCGTGTCGAGCAAAGGTCGACATTTGAAGCCCTTTACCGGTATATGGTGACGACTGAATGTGTAAAAATTCTTGAATGGTACGTAAAATACCATACAAACAATCAAACAGCCTTGGAGGAAATTATTGAGCACCAACCCATTCCACAATTGTTTGATCAATTTTAATGTCTAGTTAATAAAAACCCTTTATCATTGTACGTTTACAAAGTATAGTTAGTAAAAACCTTTCATTATTGTACGTTTATACATTAAATATAAAACTAAAACTAATGACATCTGTACAATATAATTAATCTAAAATTTTAAGGCATCAAATAATATGCAAATGGCATTAAAGGGAATCAGTGAATTGTTTTGATCTCCTTTTTAGCATTTCGGTTATATCTAACAGAGCTGTATGGTCGACAATGCCTTGTTTTGGGATTTCCAGGTCTAGGAAGTGTCGAGCTGTCTTCGGGTTTTCGATGTTGACTTCTTTGTCCTTTGTTGTACATTTCTGTCATAACGCTCATGCTACTGTATTGCAAATTTGCGGGATTTACTCTCATTGACCAGTTGTTGTTCAAGGGGACATGTGATTTAGCGGGCAAAGTACACATCTTTTTATACTGAAGGTGATCGTAAGTTTCAGGACTTCCATAGTTATCAAAGCTTTCAGAACTAGCATATGGTATCTGTTGCCTCGCTTTAGTTTTATAATGTCTTGGTAAACTTCTTGACGATTTCAAATGAGCAAAGTTATCCAAATGCTGTCTTTGAAGAGAATTACAAACAGTAGGATTTAAAACTTCCTTTTCAAACATTTGTGATTCTCTCACGTCGTTATAGATGTATTCTCCTTGTTCCTCATTGTCCTTGTGCGTATTTTCTGAAATATCGAAAACAAATTTAAGAATGAACGTAAATTTAAGTTTCATTCTTAAAACAGAAAATTAAAAATAATTAAATATACCTGAGGGTGCAG